GCATACGCTTTTGTCTTGACTGCAAAATTTCGGAACCAGGCAACGCCATATAGATCTTGCATGACTTCAGCCTGTCTCAAGAATCGTTCCTTGAAATGCATCAAGTTTTCGGTTGTTCCTTGCTTCACAGCAGAGAACTTTTGATTGGTGGCTTCCCAGAAATCCAAGAAGTCATACTCAGCATCAGCACTCTTCTTCATGAATCGTTCAATACGTTTCAAAAGTTTGATTGGATCTTCAAGAGTAGTCGTAAAATCGGCTTCACCTTGAAGCTTGATATCCATCGCCTTTGTCACAAACTTCAGCATGATGTTTGATTTGACGGTTCTCTTGTTTGTCTCGAAGCAGGCTGATCTTCGCATGTTCTCGTCGAGCTTTGCAGAATAGATAATCTTGTTTTGAGTCATCTCTGTTTCTCTTGCAACAGCTTCAGTTTGAGTTGGAGCGTTCAATCTTGGAGCAATCGCATTGAAGTCGATCGACTTTCCATCTCAAATTGATTTTGTCAGATAATCAACTCCGTAGCTGTAATGAGAGCCTCAACGCTCTAGCTACCTCTGGAGTATACTGAGCTCGAATCTACGTCGGCTATGGATTACCTGCAATAGGAACAGGTGCCAGTGATGCTGGGCTTCTACCTGCGGATGAACAGTCTCACCACTTCCTATTAGATCTTATTCTACTGCTATTCTTGCCAGAAGTCGATCAACAATGATCTCCACAAGCAGGTACAAAAAATCTCTTCCAAAAGCCATCTGCGTCAGCTCTCACCAGCTGTCGCGGCGTATAAAGCACATACGCACATGTTCTTCACAAACTAGTCACAGATCTGGATCTACCTTCAATACTTATCCATCTCTGTACATACTCGAACCGTACTCCTGTCGGTGTTTGATACCACGAATGTCCGACTTCACTGTCTGACATGTTCGACTGTTCTTTTATCTATTAAGATCCCATTTCACCAACACACTCCTGTCGTTTCGACGACTCCAGTTGCGATAATGAATCCCTTCTTCATTTAATATGTAACGTGTATATATAACCAACGACGGTCATATCTAATCTTCCTGATCCCCTTGGATCAATGCCCAAAACTTGCGGAACTTTTCCCCTTGCAAAGGTTTCGTCATATAATCCCCCCACATGTCATCAGTTCGCATGTGTTTGATCGTAAGATTTCCTTTCTCAACCTGATCAGTGACAAAGAAATAACGGATGTTCAATGCGCGGCTTCTCTTCCCTGCACTTGATCTCCCGTTCTTCTCGAGGAGAATAGAGCTCATATTGTCTTGATACACGATATTCTTCTCAATCGGATAACCTTGTTCTTCCATGAACATGCGTGTCCACAACACTTGTGTGATTGCATCATCTACTCCGATTAGTTCCGCATGTGTACTGCTGCGGCTGTTTAGCTTCTGTTTCTTGAACAAACCAGATCTTACTGCAATACAAAACGCTTGCACGCCTGGTGCACCAGCCATATGATACACTGATCGTGCGCGATTAGCCCGCTCAACTTGTTTATCAGTGAAGCCTTCGATATTCT